AACATCTCCCTCTTTGAGCACCTCAACTCAGGAAACGTCAGCATCTCCACTGGGTGACAACACTGAGAGCACTGTCTCCACCAAACAACCACCAGCCAGCACCATCACCGAAATGAGCACATCAATTCCGTCATCTTCTTCAAGTGGCAATATTTTGACTTCAGCTGTTCCTCAGACAACATCCTATTCAGGTGAGACAACAACTTCATCCCATTCTAGTGTCAGCAGCACACCTCTGACAACCTCAGGAACAGTGCAAGCCCCAAGCTCATCAGAAACCACTGTGGGAACAACGAAGGACATGGCAGCCACTGGAACTACAACTTCTACTGAAGTCACCTCACAATCTCCACAGACAACTGGTGAAGGGCTAGTAACATCTCCCTCTTTGAGCACCTCAACTCAGGAAACGTCAGCATCTCCACTGAGTGACAACACTGAGAGCACTGTCTCCACCAAACAACCACCAGCCAGCACCATCACAGAAATGAGCACATCAATTCCTTCATCTGTTTTGACTTCAGCTGTTCCTCAGACAACATCCTATCCAGGTGAGACAACAACTTCATCCCATTCTAGTGTCAGCAGCACACCTCTGACAACCTCAGGAACAGTGGAAGCCGCAAGCTCACCAGAAACCACTGTCGGAACAACGAAGGACATGGCAGCCACTGGAACTATAACTTCTACTGAAGTCACCTCACAATATCCACAGACAACTGGTGAAGGGCTAGTAACATCTCCCTCTTTGAGCACCTCAACTCAGGAAACGTCAGCATCTCCACTGGGTGACAACACTGAGAGCACTGTCTCCACCAAACAACCACCAGCCAGCACCATCACCGAAATGAGCACATCAATTCCATCATCTTCTTCAAGTGGCAATATTTTGACTTCAGCTGTTCCTCAGACAACATCCTATTCAGGTGAGACAACAACTTCATCCCATCCTAGTGTCAGCAGCACACCTCTGACAACCTCTGGAACTGTGGCAGCCGCAAGCTCGCCAGAAACCACTGTGGGAACAACGAAGGACATGGCAGCTATTGGAACTCCATCTTCCACTGAAGTTACCTCACAATCTCCACAGACAACTGTTGAGGGGTCAGCAACATCTCCCTCTTTGAGCACCTCAACTCAGGAAACATCAGCATCTCCACAGGGTGACAACACTGAGAGCACTGTCTCCACCAAACAACCACCAGCCAGCACCATTACCGAAATGAGCACATCAATTCCGTCATCTTCTTCAAGTGGCAATATTTTGACTTCAGCTGTTCCTCAGACAACGTCCAATTCAGGTGAGACAACAACTTCATCCCATCCTAGTGTCAGCAGCACACCTCTGACAACCTCAGGAACAGTGCAAGCCCCAAGCTCATCAGAAACCACTATGGGAACAACGAAGGACATGGCAGCCACTGGAACTACAACTTCTACTGAAGTCACCTCACAATCTCCACAGACAACTGTTGAAGGGCTAGCAACATCTCCCTCTTTGAGCACCTCAACTCAGGAAACATCAGCATCTCCACAGGGTGACAACACTGAGAGCACTGTCTCCACCAAACAACCAACAGCCAGCACCATCACAGAAATGAGCACATCAATTCCTTCATCTGTTTTGACTTCAGCTGTTCCTCAGACAACATCCAATCCAGGTGAGACAACAACTTCATCCCATTCTAGTGTCAGCAGCACACCTCTGACAACCTCAGGAACAGTGCAAGCCCCAAGCTCATCAGAAACCACTGTGGGAACAACGAAGGACATGGCAGCCACTGGAACTACAACTTCTACTGAAGTCACCTCACAATCTCCACAGACAACTGTTGAAGGGCTAGCAACATCTCCCTCTTTGAGCACCTCAACTCAGGAAACATCAGCATCTCCACAGGGTGACAACACTGAAAGCACTGTCTCCACCAAACAACCACCAGCCAGCACCATCACCGAAATGAGCACATCAATTCCGTCATCTTCTTCAAGTGGCAATATTTTGACTTCAGCTGTTCCTCAGACAACGTCCAATTCAGGTGAGACAACAACTTCATCCCATCCTAGTGTCAGCAGCACACCTCTGACAACCTCAAAAACTGTGCCAGCCCCAAGCTCGCCAGAAACCACTGTGGGAACAACGAAGGACATGGCAGCCACTGGAACTCCATCTTCTACTGAAGTCACCTCACAATCTCCACAGACAACTGTTGAAGAGCCAACAACATCTCCCTCTTTGAGCACCTCAACTCAGGAAACATCAGCATCTCCACAGGGTGACAACACTGAGAGCACTGTCTCCACCAAACAACCAACAGCCAGCACCATCACAGAAATGAGCACATCAACTCCTTCATCTGTTTTGACTTCAGCTGTTCCTCAGACAACATCCCATTCAGGTGAGACAACAACTTCATCCCATCCTAGTGTCAGCAGCACACCTTTGACAACCTCAGGCACTGTGGAAGCCACAAGCTTGCCAGAAACCACTGTGGGAATAACGGAGGACATGGCAGCTACTGGAACTACAACTTCTACTGAAGTCACCTCACAATCTCCACAGACAACTGTTGAAGGGCTAGCAACATCTCCCTCTTTGAGCACCTCAACTCAGGAAACATCAGCATCTCCACAGGGTGACAACACTGAGAGCACTGTCTCCACCAAACAACCACCAGCCAGCACCATCACCGAAATGAGCACATCAATTCCGTCATCTTCTTCAAGTGTCAACATTTTGACTTCAGCTGTTCCTCAGATAACATCCCATTCAGGTGAGACAAGAACTTCATCCCATCCTAGTGTCAGCAGCACACCTCTGACAACCTCAGGAACCGTGCCAGCCCCAAGCTCGCCAGAAACCACTGTGGGAACAACGAAGGACATGGCAGCCACTGGAACTCCATCTTCTACTGAAGTCACCTCACAATCTCCACAGACAACTGTTGAGGGGTCAGCAACATCTCCCTCTTTGAGCACCTCAACTCAGGAAACATCAGCATCTCCACAGGGTGACAACACTGAGAGCACTGTCTCCACCAAACAACCAACAGCCAGCACCATCACAGAAATGAGCACATCAATTCCTTCATCTGTTTTGACTTCAGCTGTTCCTCAGACAACATCCCATTCAGGTGAGACAACAACTTCATCCCATTCTAGTGTCAGCAGCACACCTCTGACAACCTCAGGAACCTTGCCAGCCCCAATCTCGCCAGAAACCACTGTGGGAACAACTTAGGACATGTCATTTTTTGTAAGTATAACTTCTGCTGATGTCACCTCATACCTACAGTCAACTGAAGTATGTGGACAATTAACAGTCCCCTTTTGGAGCACCCCTACCTAGGAAACATCAGCATCTCTACACGCTACCTGTCTGCGATCAGTAAGACCACCCAACAACCCGAAAACAACGACTTCCTCGAAATGAGCATTTCAACCCCTTTACTTTCACCTAGTAGAAATATTCTTACATCATCTTTACCTCAAAATACATCTCATTCTTTTTAGACAACCAGTGAAATTCATTCTATTGTCATGCCCATTTTCTCATCTTGAAAAAAATGATGCCAGCACCAATCTCAGCATACTCCACTGTATTGACAAAAAACATTTCTCTTTATTTCTACAGCTTCTATTTCACTCACCTCATTTGTGTTTGTTACAACTTAAATAGACAACCAACAGCACTGTATTCCAGCACCTCTATCCAGGAAACATCAACCTTCTTCAGAACCAGAAGACAGAGACCACTGAGTTTACCAGACTCTCGTCAACCTGCCTCATTATAGCAATTATCACTTTTCTTATTCTTACCAATTGGGCACAACCCTGCAGTATTTCTTTTTGAGAAGGATCTCCTTTAAGTGAAACATCACTTCTGTTTCTTCCTGTGTCAGTCATACTCTTCTGACATCAGAAATTATGATACTACCTCCCTTAGCAGAAACCACTGTAGGAAAATTATGTTTATGTCACTGTCTATAACTGCACCTTCTACTCCTGCCACCTCTCTTTCTACTTTCACTATCATGTCCACTAGTGGAGAAGTTCTGGCAACACTCTCAAGCTCAGTCATTCATGAAATCTCGACTACATAGGTCATTCCCACTGTTGTGTCTGTTAGTAACTCCCTGAGAAATATCATGCACGTCCAACAGCCTCAGTAAGCAAGTCAGGCACACCCACCACTGAGCATCTTGCAATAATTGAAGGGTAGCCTCTACTACCAACCCTACTACAAGACCAACATATATGAGTTCTACAAATAGTTGTGACAGTGTAGCTGGATCCACACTGATATTTTCTTTTCCATACACATTTTTTCATCTCCACCTATATAACCTACCCTTCCATCAAGATCACTCCTGATACTTCTTCAGCACCTAAGTATTCTAAGAGTACATTGCCTGTACCACAGCCATCGATAGGCTCTGCTTTCTCTGATTCTATTTCTTCTGGTAATGTGCACAAAATTCAGACCATATTGAGCTCCTATACTTCAGCCAGTAATTCTTCATTCTCTCAATCAGCTCCTGACCCTGCAGTCACCTGGAGCTCCACCACCATATTCCCAGGTCGTCCCACACCTTCATCTGGTACCAGTACTTTCCCACCATCCACAGCATTCTCAAGTTCCACTGTGAAGACTGAGACATCAGGTAGGTGGAGACTAAAGTGTCTCTCTCTCTTACAGTGGCTGCATTGGCTCAATGTGGCCTAGAGGAGCACTTGAGAGAGAATGGTGAGTTAACATTACCAGTCTAGGATTGAGGTCAGATCCACAAAGAGTAAGGTAAATGAGGGTGTGGTGGGTGACAATCCCCTCTGCCCTAAAAGAGAATTGCTTATCTGCAGAGAGAGGTTTGGGTATGACCAGAAGAAAGATAAGGTAGTTTCTAGTTGTCTCTTCCAGCTCCTAAAGTCTGTGTCTTTTTTTTTTTTTGTCTCTGCTACTGTCTAACTGTAAGACCCTCCCCTCTTCTCTTCCTTCATTCCAGGAGCAATCACAACTTCACTGGTGACAGACAGTCAGAGAAGCACAGCAACACCACTACTCTCAACAACTGTCCAGAACCTTACAACCTCAACTCCCAGCACACACCCAACAACTGCCCCAATCCCTGTGAAGCCTGAGAAAGGTGAGTTATGCCCCGTAGATCTGGAACCTTTCCACCTGGGATGCAGAGGATTGAGAGGATAGATCTGGAACCTTTCCATCTGGGCTGCAGAGGATTGAACTTGTAGTTGTGGCAGATGGACTGGATCTACCAATAAGAGCCTTTGTGGTTATTTCTGTGGACATCTCCACTGCCCCTTCTGGGCCATGGGAAGTTGAGCTATTCTCCATATCTCCTTTAAATGGTGATGTAACTGAATGCTTAGTCTCAGCCTGCTTGGTCACAGACTGCTCTTTCACATCAGAAGGGCCTCATCCAGGCCCGGGGGAGCAGCTGGGTCGAGTGCGGCCAGGCCCGGAGCAGCGGCTGCCAGGCTGGGAGTGGCCAGGCCCGGAGCAGTGGCTGCCAGGCTGGGAGCGGCCAGGCCCGGAGCAGCAGCCAAGTCCAGAGCAACTAGGTCGGGAGCGGCAGTGACCAGACCCGGAGCAGCTGGTTGTGGAACGAACCAGAGCAACAGAGGCCAGGCCCTGAGCAGCCAGGCCCAGAACAGCTCGCTCCTCGCCTGCCCCTGCCCCATGGCTGCCTCTCAGACATGGCTGGAAACTTTCACGGGAACTTGAGGGTCTGCTGAATCAAGTGATGAAGGCTTAGATCTGGATGTGTTGAGTTAGTATAGGGCTGGGATGTTGATCTGTGAGTGCCTTGGGTGGGGCCTGGATGAAGCTAGTTAACCTATTGGGAAATGTCTTTTGTGTGAAGTGTATCATTGGGCATGTGGAGGTATTATTGATATGAGAAAATGCTAAGTAACTGATTTACTATCTGAAAAGGGATTTACTATCGGGGAAAGGGAGGGAAGAAGAGACTGAACATAAACTGTGCACCTATGGATGAGGATGGGGAGGGAGTGGAGGGTGGGGTGGGAACCTGGTGGAGGGGGGAAGAAATGAGGAACCTTTGTAATAATATGAACAATAAAGATTGATTTAAAAAAAAAAAAAAAAGGGCCTCATGAGGGACAATGAGACAGCATCAGAGTTGGATGCCGAGGGTTGGCATTGTATAAGGCACTGTGGTAGGTAGTGAAGACAAAAATGATCAAGGTGCTGTTCAGGAAGAGACAGATATGCTGTCTCAGTAGGTGCAATTGAAGAATAATCCAGGGTATTAGGCAGACGCAATGAAAGGCCCCTAAGAATGTTTATGTGTCGGGGGTGGAGGGGAGGGGGTCAGGGGGGCATTTCAAGGTGAAGAGGCGGTTTCTAGAAAGAATTAATAGGAACTGGGGAAGAAGAAACACTCCAAGCCAGCAGGAAGATGTTGGAATAAAGATGTAGACGTGAGAAGTAGTCTCAATATAGCAAGGGGAAGAGATCCCCAAAACATTTGGGATTGCTGGAAGTAAGGCGAAGAGTGTTGAGAGATGAAGCTGTGATATAAGGGAAGCTTGCATATAACAGGAACCACGGAGGAGGTGGCTAGATTTGCATTTATGGATGTTGGCTGGGATGGGGGATGAATTTGCAGGAGGCCAGGAGAGTAGTGTAGCGACTGCTGTGTATTCCAAGCAAGACTGAGTGAGTATGGAAAGAAGGAGATCCATTTGAGAAATGTTTAGGACAAAGTTTCTCAAACTACCCAAGAACCTCTAAGAAGTTCTAGGATAAATTCTAGGGGGTCTTCAAGTTTATCTAGAGAAATGCCATCTTAGAAAACAAGTCTCATTCTATGAAATGGTCTTTCAATTACTCCTCTTCACTGCCTTGGAGGAGTTTTGTCTTTTCACCCTTAAAAGAATTTTAAGTGCCATAACAAATGCAGAATAATGTGCTGGTATGCTGACAGCAGGACCTGGTTTTTCCAAACTGGGGAAGGATGACAGTACAAATTAAAGTGTTAAAATGCGGTGGTGGGTTAAACACAAGTGGGAAGGGGGGAGGGGAGGATTTGATGGCTCCCAGTTAGGGAACCAAGAACAGCATAAAGGATCAGTTGGGGGGATTCTCTGGGGATCCCAGTCAGTCCGTGAGAACTTCCTGCTGTTCTTTGTTTTGGCCCAGGTGTTCCCCTCTTCCCCTATGGGCCACATGCTCAAGACCAGGAGTTTGTGAAGAGGAAGGTGGACTTCACCTCACCACTCTTCAAGCCCCAGATTGGCTTCCCCTTTGGCTCCACTCTCCGAAATTTCCTTTACGTGAGTTCCAGGCTGCAGCCCAAATGGCAGGCTCAGTGACCTGTGTTCCCAAGGCCCCACTTCCCTCTCCAGGGCTCTGAGATGGCCCAGTGACTGTGACTGAGATCCTGATGGAAAAGAAGGGAGAATGAAAGCAACACTGTTGGGCTCCTACTGTATTCCTGCCTCTGGCTTAGTTTGCGTTCACAATCTTTACTATCAGAGTGTTAGCCAAGGTAGACATGAATCTAGACAAGGCTCGCCTTGCCACATAAACAAAAGTGTCTATCTCAGTAACGAGATCCCGGGGCCCAGTGAGCTTTCTTCTGTTTCTGCAAGGCCATTTATATGAACAGGAAGCTCTACTTGGGAAACAACGAAGGCATTTTACATTTTCTGTAAATATTTCCCGGTTCCCTGGTCCAGGTACCCATGAGTCCTGGAGGAGAGTTGGAAAGACAGTCATGGCCTCTGGGGCTCTCAGTGAGGGGGGCTGAGTCAGGACACAGTATGCGACTCAGTGATGGGTGAGGGTTTCGGTCCTTTTAGCCCCATCTGATGTGGTACCAGCTTCAGGATGGAACCTCAGTGATTTATCCAGAGGGGTCTGCTCTGTGACAGGCTAGCCCATAGACAGGGCCTGATGCTAAGCAGAACAAAACTTACCACCTTAGGAAGGATTTAGGACTAGAAGAATGTCCTGCGGGTAGACTATTTGTGTGAGAATTAAGTAAAGGGGCTCTCTTTCCGGCAGGCAGAGAGATGAATGGCATGACTTTCCAGAGGTTATTGACATCTCTAAAGCTCTACCCAGATAGGCATTTGGGGGTCCCAAGGCTGCTCTGAATGTTAACCGAAAGAACCTTTGTGCTCAGTTCACAGATAATGGTCAGATCATTTTCCCGGAGTCAGAGTACCAGATTTTCTCCTACCCTCACCCTCCTCCTGGAGGCTTCTCAGGCAGGGACCGTCTGGCTGTGGTGGCTCCATTCTGGGATGATGCTGATTTCTCCAGCCACCAGGGGACCATATTTTACAAGGTGGGCCTTTCAAAGTCTGGCATTCGGGATCCTCCAGAAACCAAGAAGGGGAGACAAAGGGCAGTGTGGGAAGGTGCATGTGTTACTGCTGCCAGAGCCAGGCTCAGTGTGGACAGGGATTGGTGCTTAAATATGAGCGTGGGAAGAGGCACATCAGGACTATTACATAAACTCAGGAACGCCCTGACACAACCATGAGAAGACTTGCAGGTGACAGGGACGGGGGTTGGCAATCCAGAGTTTTAGTTCAGGATAAGGTTGTAGGAGGTCTTTCCTAATAAGCCTGAGTCAAGCTGGACCTCTGTATGTGCTCCTGGATTGGGTTATTAATGATTCCAGTCAGTGGGAGCGCATAATGAAAGCTCCTGCAGGCAAATGGGGACTGTAGCCCTGCCAGGGACAAGGTGCTATAGAAGATCAAAAGATGAAGAAATACATGCCTGCCTTCAAGGAATCTTGGTGGGGCATGGGGAAGTTCAAATGGGCAGAGGTGGCTATGCTGTCCAAGCCATTTACTTGAATTCATGCAAAGCCATTTTGTGCTAAGAGATGCATGAGTTCAAGTCCAGAAGACTTGGATTTCTGGGCCTTGACTCTCCACTCCACACACCTAGGCCTCCTTGCTACTGAATTTGAATTAATCTTCAGATCCAAGGAACAGACTGAAAATGTAGGCCTGGGAGAGGAAAGGATGTCAGACGTGGGTAGACTAAAGGGATCAGGACTACCATGCAGAAAGTATGGTCCCTCAAGGGTGTGGAGCTGCGACCCTCATTTCCTTGTCCTTAACTGCCTTCCTTTCCTAGGAATACGAGACTCTCTACGATGACAACAAACCACTGATAGTCCAGCAGGTGGAGTCTTGGATTGAAAAATTTACAGACACCTGGAACTACAAAGCCAAGTGGACCCTAAAAGTCACATGGGTCAATGCCCCTGCCTATCCTGCCCAGTGGACCACCGGGGTGAGTGACCCATGAACAGCTCTCTGCGAACCACCTCGAAGTCAGACTTCCTAGAATCCTAGGCAGGGGCCAACCTTCTAAAACCCTCTCTAACCTCTAACACCCAATCTCCAGGCCAGATGGCTGATTACAGCACTCTTGCCCCCACCCTGATGCTGAACACTCACCATGCACCAGGCGGCCCCAACCTCTTACGTTCACGACCTCAGCAGCCCAGAGCACTGGGTGTTAGAGGTTGAAGTTTAGGAAATGGAATTTCTATAAATCAAATGGCTGGCTATTGGCAGTTTTATATGGTTCAACCTGATAATATTATTCACATTTTAGAGATGAGAACGATGATGGTTAGAGAGGTGAAGCCACTTGCTCGAGGTCAGCTCGCGAGCAAATGACAATTTCAGGCCCGGAACTGAGGTTTTCCTAACGTCAAATGCTGCCTCTCACTGTAATGCCTTCCAAGGGAAATGGGCCCATCATACAGTCTCCCTGGTCTTCCTTCTGGGGACTCAGTGCTCCTGCAGTCAGAAGTCCTCCCTTGTGGCTGTCCTAAAGTCACGTGTCTCTTCGTTGGTTACCTGGTTCACTGGTTACCTACTTTGTACAAGCACAGTGCTTGGCATTCGCCTTTAGAGAACCTCCCATCTCACCTGTGGTTCCGGTTGAGGAGACATTTGGACAATGTCCTTAAATATCCCCAAGGAACCTAGAATAGGCTTCTTCCAGCTCTCTGGTGTCTTGGCTAACCTCTTGGGTTTCTGATTCTTTCTTACACAAACTGTCTCCCAACTGGTTCCTAACCCAGAGCCTTTTATCATCCTCCCTGGAAAGAAATCAGAAAGAAGGCAAATCTACCATGTTAGGTGCTTGACACCACGGGTGAAAGGTGCCCTACACACTGCCAAACTTGTCAGCGTGTTAAGCCCATGCCTTTTCTCCAGGTAGGCCAGGAAAAGAGACCGTGTGCATCGAGGCAGGGGTGTGGGATGAAAGATGGGATATCAGGGAGGACACTCCAGATTTCTCACAGGCATCTCCATGTTTGTCTCCATCCAACCCCCAGACCAACACCTACCAGGTCATCCTCTCCACAGATGGGACCAGATCCTTCGCCCTGTTTCTCTACCAAAATGGTGGGATGCAGTGGGATGTGACCCAGCACCCAGGCAACTGGGTCCTCACGGGCTTCTCCAGGTAGGATGGGACGGGTTGTCAGCTCTGAGCAGGTGACAGGAAGTGGTGCAGAACGGTGAAGACGAAAGGATGGGATTATCTAACAGAGTGATGTTTTCACACATTCCCCACCCCAGGACCCGGCTGAGTCCTCTTGCCGATGCTTCTGACTCACACTGGTGCCAGGTTCCATTAAAAGATGCTATTTCTTCCTGACTCACATTCAGAGGTCCCTATTCATTGCCATTCTCTTTTCTCCACAAGAACCTGTGTAATGTAATCATTCCCAGAGCTTTGACTTCTCTGATTTCCACTCACATTAGCTGACCCCTCTTGACTTCTCAAATAGCATCATCATAATGGCCAATATTTACTATACTAACTATTTAATAAGCGTTATTTCATTTCATTATTACAACAAACCCATGAAAGAGATACTATTTATTTCCCATTTTACAGATAAGAAAATTGAGGTACAAATAGATAAGTAATTGCCCAAAGTCACAGAGCTGGGAAGTGGCAAAGCAGGAATTTGAATTCAGACATCTGAGGTTGAAATCTGCCTTCCCAACTTCCGGTACTCCTGGGTTGGGACCTCACCCCTCACCCAGGGCCACCAGCAGCTTATGGGAGAGCAGAGGGATGGGGCTGAGGAGGGTTCCTATGTGTGAAGATGGCTCAGTCTCTGAACAACAGTTCTGGACCCTGGTATTTCCTGGTGTGTGTCATCATCATAAAGGTCACTTGTCATTTGTTACTGGAAATTACTGCAAATGATTTTGTCTTAAGGGTGTGCCTGTAATTACACTGCTTTCATTTGTGGTGAAGGGGAAAGGATTGGAATTATCTAACTACCTAAGAATTTCACACCATCTGGTGTTTGCCTGCCCACCCGTACCCCAGGTGTCACACCTGTGTGTGTCACCCATCCTGTGTCAGAGGAGGAAATCTCAGGAGTCACTGCTCTGAGGCATGCACCCAGAGAGGCTGCAGGCACTGGTCCAGGGTTTTTCTCCTTCCTAGAGCAGGGCTTTGAACCCCATCTCAGGGGTGGGGCTGAGTTTCACCCATCATATCAGGTCCTCACTCTGTTCTGAGAGCTTTACAAATGTTTACTACATTTCATCCTCACAATGCTAGGAGATAGTTGCTATGTAGTCTCTTTTACTCGGATGTGAAAACAGAATAAAATAGGTTAAGAAACTTGCCCGTGGTTACCAAGCTGCTAAGTGCTGGAGTCAGGAACTGAATTCATGCCTGTCTAACTTCAGAGACTGGCTCTTACCCATCCCAATATGCTGTCCCCACCAATCCCTCACTCCAGAAGGAGGCCTGGACTCTGTTGTCTTCACACCAGCCTCATGGCGAGTGTCTGGCCCTTATGGATCAGATGTGGTATAGATTAGTCTCCCTACCCACCTCTCTCCTTTCCTGCTTAGTGGTGGGAGTCAGTGATTCTGGCTGGCCGGCTGGCTGGCCAGCTGATAAATAAAGACTAACTGGATTGAGTGAGTGCCTGACTGGCTGGATGAATAACTTGCTGGCTGAGAGGAAAGACCCTGAGTGTAACAGGGGCCTTCCATTCTTTCCTTTGCACGCAGTGGAGATGGGTATCATGAAAACAGTCCACTGACATCTCAGCCAGTGTGGCAGAAGTATCGTCCGGACCAATTCCTGAATTCCAACTCAGGTAAAAGCATTGCCTAATCACACTTGGGCTGGACTTAAATCCTCTTTTGTTCTCCACTTTGTGGGCCGTGACAGTAGTAGAGGGGCAGTGCTCTAGCATCTATCTCCATCATCCTGAAGGAAGTCCCAGCACAAACGGACCTCTCACAGATGCAATAGGAACGCTGCCCAGGGAGCAGCCGGCACCTTCTGTGCTCTCACACAGGACAGTCTTCCTGGGGGCTCTGTCTCCTCCTGGGATGAGCCAAACCAAAGAGCTCTCTGAGTGGGGGCCCAGATCCTGGAATTAAAAATAGGGGTGTGGCCAGGTATAGAAATATGAATGGGTAGTTAGGGCAATACTCCAAGGGACCTGTTCCTGAAAGGGAATGTGAATCCAGAGAAGATCCCTTAAAGGAATCCACCAAGGGGAGTTCCAGAGGTCTGATATTCATTTAGTCATTATTTACTGAGCACCTGCTACATGCTGGACACTGTGCTAAGAAGCAGGGATGTGAAATAAAAGGGAAAATGACTAAGTTTGCTCTCTAAGGCTGTCACTCTGGCAAGAAGGCGGGTTCTTCAGTGTCAGGAAGAAGCCTATGGGGCCTCCGCCATGAGTCAGTGTACTGTTGGGGAGCCCCAATGGCAAAGAAATGATCTTTTCCAAAATGTGATCGAACAAAGGTCATTACAGCATTTTAAATCAGCCCCATATAAATTGTGAAGCATGAATTCAGTTCTATTTGTTCTGTGGCAGGAACTTTTGGTAAACAAAAGCTAAGTCAAATCATGGGTGCCACCTTGTGGAGAATGCTGCCCAGTCATTGGGATCTTCTGTCCAGATGTTTTGACTTGGACTTGGGTGTGTGTGTGTGTGTGTGTGTGTGTGTGCAATACAATAGAGATAGATAGATAGATAAATAGATAGATAGATAGATAGATAGATAGATAGATAGATAGTATTTAGAGGGAGAGTATTTGATATGTTTCCCTTGATACCAGGTCGTTGTGAAGAAGATACACAAACAGATAATCATAAATAATGATTATCCTTCTCAAAACCTTAACAAATTGTAGTTTTCTTGACAATTACTTCTTTTGTGGGGGTACAGGGTCAAATTAAATGTCCTATTATATCTTAATAGAGGCCTGGTGCATGAAATTCATGCATGGAGGGTGTACTTCAGCCCGACCTGCGCCCTCTCGCAGTCCGGGAGTCCTCGGGGGATGTCTAAATGCCAGCTTAGGCCCACTCTCCCTAGGCCCACTTCTTCCTGGCACTGAAGAACCCGCCTTCTTGCCAGAGTGACAGCCTTAGCACTGCTCCAGAGGCAGAAGAGGCTACCACCATCACTGCTGCATTCACCAGCTGTGAGCCCTGCTTCTGGCTGAGCAGCACTCCCTCTATAGGAGCTTACTGATCACCAGGGGGCAGATGCTCAATGCAGGAGCTGCCCCCTGGTGATCAGTGCACATCATAGCGACTGCCCCTTTGAGTTAATTTGCATATTAGCCTTTTATTCTATAGGATTGGACTCTGGTGCACCCCTTCTCACTCATGGCAGCTGTGATGGGCAATATGTAACTTAAAATTAATTGAAGGTCTACTTAAAGTTCAACCTCCCCCCCCATAGGGTCTCTACTCCCACTCACTTCAACATTCCTAGGATGGTGTCTGGGCACTGAGGATGCTTCTTCAGCCTTGTGGTAATGGAGCAGGTCCCAGTGTCACATGCCAACTTCTCTGTGGCTTCCCAGCTGGCTTCTGAGCATAGACCTCTGACCTGGCTGCTTGGGCCACTGACATGTCTGGTGGGAGAGCTGGGTGAAGGATGAAAGCAAGCGTCTGAGTAGATGGCTAGTTGGTGGTAGCATCATGCACTTAGATATAAGGTGGCTATAGAAGAACTGATTTCGGGTTTGAGGAGATTGGAAGGTGCTGGAGCTTAGAGTGACAGACAGAAGGGTAGAGTGAACGGAAGCTCGGGGTCCGGGTTTGGCTCTGAGTTGGGTGTAGGCGAGGCCTTCTTGCCTAGCCCTTGTCCCAAGGTTTCACACTAAGATCCAAGCTTTGAGGGCTTTTGGAGGTCACATCAAAGGGGTCTTTGGGGATGGAATTGCTGCCAATCTGAGTTGGGTCTCATTCATAGAAGAGCTGTCCCGAGGGGACAAGTGGCATACAGAGGGTACATTTCTGAGTCTTGATGTTCCCTGAAGCTACTAGTGAAGCAGAACCTGTGGCCCCAGGCCCTCAGATAACCCCTTCTTCCTTTGCTCCTCCAGGCCTCCGGGGGCTGCAGGTCTATCGGCTGCATAAAGAAGAAAGACCCAACTACCGTCTCAGGTGCCTGCAGTGGTTGAGACAGTCTCAATGGCCCAGCTGGGACTGGAACCACATCTCCTGCCCTTGCTCCTGGCAGCAGGGAGTATGGGACTTACGATTCCGGCCCATCCACATAGGTGACTCCTCCTTCCTGTCTCTTGGGGTATCTCCATTGTCCCACAAGCCCACCCACCATCTCTCCAGTTCCCCCTAACCTGTCCCTTTCAAGGCATCCTCAGCCCCTCCCTCCCCCCAAAACACCGCACCCCAATCCTGCCCCCACCACAGGCATCAGGCCTGAGTGTCTCTGGACTTGTTTGCAGGCTGGTGGGGCCTCGGCAGCAGGCATCTGTGCAGCTTCACTTCCTGGCGTGGGGGCGTGTGCTGCAGCTACGGGACGTGGGGAGAGCTTCTGCGAGGCTGGAGAGCGCAGAGCCCTTGGCAGTTTGGTATGTGTGTCCACGGAGATCTCAACCCCACTTCCTCCGGGGTTCTATGCTCTTCCCCATCAGAGACCAGCCCTGGGCTCCGTACCAAGCAGTGGGACCCATGGATCGAAGCCTTTTGTCCCTATTCCCCTTCCAGTTCCTTCCCCTCTCCGGCCCTCAATTTCCACATCTTGTAACCTTAGGCAGCTCCCAATGTCACTTCCAGCTGACACCTCAGGGGAGTATGATTGAGGGCCTCTTGATCACCTCCACTTGGCTCCATAGCCCCAGCCCGGAGCGGAGACATCTTTCTAGGGAAGGGAGAAGGCCTAGTCTAACCCTGTTCCTCTGGACCCACATGAGCAGGCTGTCTCGGGGAAGGCATGGCATCATCTCAATCACTCTTCCAAGGAACTAGAGAGCTCCAGTGTGGTGGAGGCTTTGGGGGAGGAAAACAGGCAGTGTGTGTCCTCTCCCTCTTCCCTGTAATCCAAGCAGCCGCCATAGTCCCAGACCATCAGCCACACCCTCCCACTCCCAGCATTTTTTTTATTATTATTTTTAGAATAGTGGGACTCAGCATCCCACCTTTCAAGAAAGGAGGTTCTTTATATTTGACCTTGTACTGACTCATCTGGGAGCCCAGCTGCAATAAGCTTGCAAGGGAGACAACAAAGAGTCCATTGGGTAGGGTGGGATCTGAACTGAGTGAGGTATGCCCGTTTCCCAAAACATGCCCTTGCCACACGTATCATCCTGCCCCACAAACCTTCTAGCTGGTTCTGCAGGTCTCCTGTGTCCCACTCCCCACACACCCATCTCAAGCACTGCCCTTCTCCACAGAGCAAGAACTGGAGTCGCAGGACTGGTGTTGCCGCTGGAATGACCAGCCTTCCTTCTGCGCCCTCTACCAACAGAGGCGGCCCCCCATCAGCTGTGCTGGATACTGGCCCCCCAGGCCTGGTGAGGCCGCTGGGGCCTGCCCTGGAGCAGACCCAAAGCAAAGGATCTGGGACGGGGGGCAGCCTCTTGGGGCCTGGACAAGGGCAGCACTAGATTCATGGGCGGGATGTGGCCTAAGGGAAGGTGGAGATGGTTCTGGTGTTCCGTGGATGGCAAACAGAGGAGCTTTGTACATGGCATTGGGGAAGGGGTAGGACTGGGCGGGGGGGGGGGGGGGATAATGAGCAGGCATGGGTGTGGTGGGGGCACAGAGGATTCTACAAGCCATGAACGACTCCCAGGCCTGCATCCACCTGGATAAATGCCCACGTGTGGGGAATCTCAGACCTTTCCCTCCTCCGCCTTGCCAATCTGTGTGTCGTCTCTCTTTTCCAGCCTGGATGTTCGGGGACCCCCACATCACCACTTTAGATAATGCCAGCTACACCTTCAATGGGCTGGGGGACTTCCTGCTGGTCAGGGCCGGAGACGGAAACTCCTCCTTCCTGCTGCAGGGCCGCACGGCCCAGACCGGCTCGGCCCAAGCCACCAACTTCATTGCTTTTGCCGCTCAATACAACTCCAGCAGCCTGGACCCCATCCTCGTGAGTGAAGCAGGGGCGCTAGACATCCCTGCCCCCCTCACAGAGAGCTCTCAGGGACCTTCAGCAAGGACTCTGAGGAGGATTCTGGTGCCACCCCTGGAGGAGAATGAGAAGAAGGAAGGGGAGGGGAAGGAAGGAGGGAGAATGCCTGGTCTGAGAGTCAACCCCAGAGACACAAGATTAGAATCCAAGCTTCAACAGTTACGTTGGAAGAGATGACCAAACTTCCAGTGCCTTCCTTTCCTTACAGTAAAATGGCGATAGTAATATTACCTAACGTGAGATTTCAATGAGGCCACCTAAGAAATGTGCCTAGCTCTGAGCCTGGCTCATGCTAAGCACTCCATCAGTGTTAGGTAGGAAAATTTCACTGTCACCTGCTCCATCACCTTCATCTTTGTCCAGGGCTCAGGTTCTAAGCTCTTCGCAGCCTCCTTTCTCTGCCCCCGGACTTCCCTACAGGTCAGCCTGAGTCCTCCTCCCATTTCCTTCCAGGTTCAGTGGTTCCTTGGGCCCAATGACACAGTCCACGTGCAGCTCAATAACCAGATGGTGGCATTTGGAGGTAGGCTGGGGAAGCCGGGAGGGTTCAGAGGGTGCCCTGCGATTAGGAGCAGTGTGGTGGGGTATGGTGGTGGCGGCGCTGGGGCAGAGGAGAGTGGTGGCCACCCCTGCTGTCCCTTCAGTGTCTGTGCCCAGCAGCTCCTTCACCCAGGAGCCGGGCATTGAACATCCCCTCCTCACTTCCCTCCTTTCCTCCAGTGCTGTGACAGCCTTCCTGGGGCAGCCCCTGTCTTCAGGCCCCTGGTAGAAGTGGGTGTTGTGGCCTTGAGGGGTATCCTGGGAGTTTGGTTTGGGGGCCACTGGAGAAGGCACCTGCAGGACATCCCAGAGCTGCTTCCAGTGTCCCTCTACTTCTTGAACGTTCATTACCGCCAAGGCTTGGGCCGACGGGGACCAACGCTGGTTTCTTCCTCACCTTGTCTCCCAACATTCTAGACCAGGGAACCTTCAACACCACTGGAGTCGTAATGACCTGCAATGGCTCCCTGGTGTCCGCCAGCTTAGATGACACAGTGGTCGTCTCAGTGACAGCTCTTTCCAACATCCTCCATGCTTCCTGCAGCCTCCCAGAGGAGTACCGAGACCGCACCGAGGGCCTCCTGGGTAAGACACCGGCAGGACCCTGGCTCTGAGGAAGTGGCCACAACAGGAACTCCGATCCTGCCCCCACCCCAGGTGGTTCCCTGCCCACTGGCCTATGGACATCCCAGGCTGCATGTCCCTTTCTCAGCCTCCGTGGGACAGAACCCTGGGGCCACAGAGGGGCAGGGAGAACAGGGACCTCTTCAGCTGCCTTTGAGTCTCACTTCCCGTCCTCCCAAAGCTCCACTTCCAGGGCAGCCAAGGGAGCATCCAGCATGGACTCTGAGGAGGGTGGGGTCAGCAGCCACCTTCTCCTCCCACACCTCACACTTTCCCATCTTTCCCCCCATCACCTCCATTCCCTCCTCTTTCTCCTCCCTCCTCTCTCCCTGAAGCAGAAAGGTGGGCTCTGAGGTGATGGTCCATCCTTTACCCTCCTCCTAGAGACCTGAACCAAGAACAGATCAACAGAGAGAAGCTTCCTGGGCCCCTGCTCCTCCTCACATCTTGAGTGTGCCCCATTGGATGCTTCCCAGGGGGTCGGGAGAACCACAGTCCCAGGGTGGCCAACCTCCTACTCTGTCCCTTAGGGGTCTGGAACAATAATCCAGGAGATGACTTCAAGATGCCCAATGGCACCACCTTACCCCAACAGAGCGATGAAGAGATGCTTTTTCACTATGGAATGAGCTGTGAGTCTGGACTTCAGAGTGCTGGGGGTAGATGGGACAGGGCTGGGATGTCTCCCCTGGTCTGTGGGAACCAGACCTCTGTCCTTTGTGAGAGGAGGGGGTGGTGGAAATTTTAGGAGGATTCTGGTGACACACCAGACTTGTCCCCTTCACCCCACTCCTACCCGTGCCTCTCTACCTGGAAGAAAGGATGAGGGAAGGAGGTGGCTCTCAGTCACTACAGCAGGGATTTTCAGACCCAGAAGTCAATCCGGCCTTTTATACACCACCTACCTCAAGCCACATGAAGTGAGAGTAAGGGGTGGACACTGAAGAAATACAGCTGGAGTCCCACCCCTGATACCACCACCATTGAACCTCGTGTGTTATAGGGGAAATCAACGGAACAAGCCTCCTTGGCAAGAGGGAGGACCATCTGCCTTCCAACTTCACCCCTATCTTCCTTTCCCAACTTTTGAAAAACAACTCCTCGAGAAATTCAACCTCTCAGTGTAATGGAGATGAACAATGCATCTATGACATCCTGGCCACAGGAAACACAAAGACTGGATGGGACACTCTTACGTTCTTTAGAAGACAGCAGCAGATGAACCACACCCTCAGTAAGTGGCACGAGGCCCCAGGAGGCATTTTCAGAGTGAAGGGGCAGATGATGAGCCCCCTTCCGTAACACTCCTGTAAGCTACACAGTTGTTGTTTTTTATATACATTTACCAGGTTCTTGGCCTCACACATTCCACTGCTCAAACCCTCCCACGATTCCCCAGCCCACTCTGTTCTTATGATGACCTTCAAAGCGGTATCTAATTTGCCTCTTGAAATCTCCTGGTACTCCCATTAGGCTCCCTCCACTTCAGCGCCACTGGCTTCTTTGTGTCCGCCAGGCTCACTCTCAACTCCGAGACTCCACACAGGCTGTTCTCTTTGCCAGGAGTGCCCTTCCCCTAGACAGCCACAGGCTTGCCCCTCGCCTCCTTCAAGTCTCTAATTAAATGCTACCTTTCTTGTCTAAAATCTCACATTCACCCACGCTCCCTACTCACTTTGCCTGTTTTATTGTTTTCTCCTTAGCATTTATAACCATCAAACATATTTTCTGATTTTCATTGTTATCTTTTGTACTTTTTGTTCACTATTGTGTCCTCACTACCTAGAACAGTGCCAGCCATACAGTAGGTGCTCAATAAATATGTAAGTGACTGACTGAATGAATGAGTGAATGAAGAAAAAATGAAATGGAAATAGCAAGGCAAAAAAAAAAAAAAAAAGATACCAGTGAAAAAATGTAACTCCCTATTTCCTAAAAAAATGCAATGCCCACTTAGATATACCCTCAAGGTTCTCAGCCCTCTTCCCAAAGTAAAACTCTGTGATGGTCTAAACAATCTGATTTCGGATTCACTTCGTACCAAACTCAGCTTAGCAGGAAAGAACTTGAAATGAATCCCATTTGGGAAAAAGATAAAGAGAGAACAAAGATTTGGCCAGGTGGGCAGTACAATCCCAGCCTGCTCTGCATGGGTCTAAGAGCAGATACTTCCAGAGGTGGGTCATAGTCCTCACACAAGCCAGGAGACTGGAGAAAGAGAGAGGAGGCCCACAGGGCAAGAGAGTGTCCTGCCTTGGGCTCCAAATCTCCTGTCTATGTTCCAGATCAGTACCCACCTTCTATTGAGGGTCCCCAAATGGTGCGTGCCTACTGGGGGAACACCGAGCGGATTAAATACAACAGCAGCTCTGAGGACGTCACATTCACACTGCGAAACAACTACAGGAAGGACTTCAAGCTTTTTGGTAAGAATGCTTTGGTAAGAATGCTTAAGGAGATTTTCCTGTTTTCTTCAGTAACATAAGACTGGTTTGATCGGAGGAGTCCTATAGTATGTAGCACTGTTTCACTGCAGTCTGGTGTCTGAAGGGATGGCTGGTCAAAGGTCCGGGAAGTGAGAGGGTGGGCAAGTCATCAGGGTAAGGGACGGGCTGCTGTGAAGGTGAGGCCAGCATGACCTGCAGTGTAGCGCGGGGATGTGCCCGGAGGATCTGGCTTACACCCTCCATGCCCTCTAGATGCCCCGTCCTGGTGCAGGCCTAAGCAGGTTGCTCTTTGAGGGTTTCTTCAGGATCAATTGCCTTCCCCTCTTTGGAGTTCCACCCTACACTCAGTTAGTTGGGCTCCAGCTTGGAGCGTATCCACCCCAGAGAACCAGCCTCACCTGAGGAAATGCCTGGTGAGGTTGAGGGGTGGTCTGAGGGAAGTGGGGGATTCCAGCCTCAGCTCTCAGGGTATTAGATGCCAAGACGTGTCAGATGGTAGAGAAATCAAGGCTTCCACCTCTCAATGACCTCATCTTCCTTGGGGCAGAAAATGGGACACTGCTCTGGACACCAAACTCACTGGAACCATTCACTCTGGAGATTCTAGCAAGAAACGTCAAGGACAACTTAGCATCTGTACTCCAGCCACAGACCGTGGTCTGTGCTTGCAAGGGAGAGGAACAGTGTTTATACAACCAGACCAGACGGGTGGGCAATTCCTCCCTGGAGGTGAGTGCTGGGAGGAGGGTGAGAAGGAGGTTTCCATTTTGGAGGGGGAAGGAAGTAGAATTTGAAGGGATATCAAAATCCCTCTGTGGCATTGTGTGTTGGGAGGTGGGCGGAACTGAGGTAGGTGAGAAATAAGGATTTTCTTTGCTGCTTATAGCGCAATTGAATTTTTGTCTCCCGGCTCCCATTCTGTCAGGCTGGCAGGGAACTTCCAGCTCGGGCTTTCCTAGCGTCCCTCCTGGCCCCTGGTTCCATGTTTCTGAAACTAGGCACTGAGGGGTGGGGTGGGAGAGTGTGGTCCCCGGGCATGAGTCTACACTGATCCCAAGCTCCAAACTCTCCCCTCTTCAGACACAGGAAGTGCTCTGGGGCTCTGTGCCTGGCAGCCTTTAAAAAGTGGCTTAGGTCCCACACAGCCATTTCCCTCTGGGGTCTCAGCACCATGGTGCTGGGAAGAGAGGTGGGGAGTCCAGGGGCTGGAAAAGGGGGGAAATATAGAGTGGGAAAACAGAGGTTAAAGTCAATGTGTTATTCTAGAGATCCCAGAATTCCCAGTCTTAGAAGTAAAGGTGTTGGGGAGTTGAATTTCAGGGAGATTTCCAGAGTCTTCTCAGTAGATGGATCAGAAAAGAGAGACCAGGGAGCTTGAAGAGGTTCATGAAACACAACTTTCCCTGTGCCCTTGTTCTGCTTACATTGTTCTCCCAGCGCTGCACAGTGAGGCTCTGTCTTCTTGGTTTGGGAGTCAGCAAGGGGATGAGGAACAGGAAATGGCAGCTTTCAGGGGGTTCCATTTTCAAGGATGGCAGAATATTTATTTAGCTCTGTCCTACTCTAAAGAGGATTTCGGGCAAAGAGGCATGGTGTAAGAAGGAAGAGGCAGAGCATGTGGGGTAGAAGCCAGGCAGACAAAGGAGTAGGGAAAGAAAGACTCAGGGAAGTAAGTGGGGTAGAGACCAAGTGCCCAGGGCCTAGTCAAGAAGGTGCTCAATAAATATTGGCATGCCAAAACGGTTTGGCTCAATGGATAGAGCATCGGCTTGCGGACTGAAAGGTCCCAGGTTCGATTCCAGTCAAGGGCATGTACCTTGGTTGCGGGCACATCTCCAGTAGGGGGTGTGCAGGAGGCAGCTGATTGATGATTCTCTCTCATCAATGTTTCTAACTCTCTATCCCTCTCTCTTCTTCTCTGTAAAAAATCAAATATATATATATATATATATATATATATATATATATATATATATATGGTGGGGACTTGTGTAGAACCTTTAAATAAATAAATAAATAAATAAATAAATAAATAAATAAATAAATAAATACGGGCAGAAACAAGACAAGGTCTCAGGTCCCATGGGTGCGCAGACTGGAGGGGTCAGTACTGAAACACCCATATGCCCTTAATGATTCAGCCTCCTGGCTGCCCAGTGATCAGCAACCCATTCCAGGTGGCCAGCTGCCAGTGCGACAACACCACCTTTGGCCAGTACTGCGAGCGTTCCAAGGACCCCTGTGATGAGCAGTGCTTCCCGGGTGTGACGTGTATTCCCGGGCAGGGCTGTGGTCCCTGCCCCCCGCACCTAACTGGGGATGGGCGTCACTGCACAGGTGAGCTGGGAACGGGCCCGGGTAGGAAAAGGTTTTGGGGACAGGTGATACTGAGGCGGTCTAGGATCGCCATGAAGCAAACCATGTCTCTCCCCTTTCTAGCGAGTATTTAGAATGTTCAACATAGAGGGTGCAGTAAAGGGGTAAGGTTTGCATGGTTTGGCGTGAGGCTAAAGGAGAAGAGATTATGGAGGCACGGGGGAGAGGCCAGGGCAGAGCAGGCCTGAGTCAATGATTGGGAAAGCTCAGTGCAAAAGGCTGAAGGTGGCCTGGAGAAGAGAGGGGCCTTCTGGCAGAGACAGGGAACCAAAGGCAAAGTGGGGTTTCAAAGATGTAAGTCTTCACATCCCCCATCAGGGCATTCGGAGGGGCTGTCGTGGGCATCTCGTGTCAGGGGTGCCTCGTTTTCCCTTTGGGTCCTGCTGCCGCTATCTGTTCCTTGACTTCTAAGTGAATGGAGTCATGATGAGGGAAAGAAGTCACACTGAGGCCTCCATGAAGCTCAAATAAAACCTGCACAGAGGCCAGCGTGGTTAGAACCGCAGCCTTATCAAGGCAGAAGAGGGGATAGACGTGGGGAAAGCCTTCTGGGTCCTCTCCTGATGTGGAGGGACTGACACACGCCTCCTCCCTCAGCAGAAGTGGGCGAATATCTACCTGGCGGAAGAAAAAGGCTTTTCAGTGGAGAAGTGCCTGGAGAAGGGAGAAGGATAGTTTGGGGTTCAGAGTGGCCCACAGGCAGAACATTGATTGAGTGGGCTTTGGGGGAAAGAAACCGGGCTGTCCTGGAAGCAGCTCTCCATGGGCTGGGAGCTCCCTGGTGTTGCTGACCTCTGCTCTCTCTGCAGATCTGGAAGAGTGTCAGAACAAGTCTTGCCCCGTGAATTACTGCTACAACCGTGGCCACTGCTACATCTCCCAGACTCTGGGCTGCCAGCCCACCTGCACCTGCCCCCCAGCCTTCACAGACGACCGTTGCTTCCTGGCTGGGAACAGCTTCACTCCAACTACCGTCCAAGGTCTCACCAGATGCCCCCACCACCCTCACCACCATTCTCTCTCTTGGGGGCCAGGGGAAAGTTTCTTAAACTCACAGGACAGAATTTCACATTTTTTGGGGGGGTGGTGGTAAGTTGTAGGCTAGGAGAGCTGGTGGGGCAGCATGAAAAACAGGCTTGAGTGGTCTTATGATAAAAGACTAAAGGTGGCCTTATGGCTCACTTAGAAGAGAGTCAGGAGCCGGGACCGGTTTGGCTCAATGGATAGAGCGTCAGCGTGGGGACTGAAGGGTCCCAGATTCAATTCCAGTCAAGGGCATGTACCTTGGTTGCAGGCACATCTCCAGTAGGGGGTGTGCAAGAGGCAGCTGATTGATGACTCTCTCTCATCGATGTTTCTAACTCTCTATCTCTCTCCCTTCCTCTCTGTACAAAATCAATAAAATATATTTTTAAAAAAGAAGAAGAAGAAGAAGAAGAGAGTCAGGGGCCTCTGATCATAGTCAAATGAGCTCTGAGGTGAGGGTCAGTAGACTCAGCCACTTCTCCTGCTCTATCACTGTAGAATGGGGCAGTCTCCCTAGACTGGCCCAATGGTCTCTGTGGGTAAGTCTGGGTAAACCCAGGAAGTGACTATAAATCTGTTTCTCCCATCTCCAGCGTTCCCTTTAAGAACAATCGAGCTCATTCTCAGGGAAGAAGAAAACGCCACTGAAGCAGAGGTGAACGCTTCGGTTAGTACTGCAGGTGGCTCCGAGTGGGAAGGAGGATCCTGGCAGGTTCGGGGCAGGGTCTTAGCCGTCACTTGTGCGTTCTGCATCTACCTCATCCATCTAGATTCAGTTGCCAGGGGAGACGGAAGCCTTCTGCCTCAGAAAAGGCCTGGGGTGAGGAAGGCAGGAAGCTGCAGGACAGAGCTCTCTGAGGGGTTTTGAAATGGCCAAGTTGACATGAACAGAGTCTAGGGTAACTGAGTCACCCCTGCCTCTCCATCTGAGAATCCTTTGAAACCTGCACTTGGGTATTATATGGAAGAAATACAAGGTCTCTCACCTCCAGGCAGCCTTCTCTGACTTCCACAGGGACCTGGGGGCTCCCTCTTTTTGGCTCCCATCCCCTGTCCATTCCTCAATTACAGGCAAAGTAACGCAGTGGTTGAGTTATTGGAGCTCTAGAATCCTATGTACCTGGGTTCAAATCCAGGCTCTACCACCCATTGGACCTGTTATAATAATTAGACAAATTATTTGATGTCTCATCTATAAAAATAGAATAATCATACCTATAGCAATGGGTTGTGTCAAGGTCTAAATAATAATGTAGGTAAAGTACTTAACGTGGTACCTGAAACATGTGCTCAAAATCAGAATAATAATTACTATTACTTAACTACTACCACCATAGCACTCTTTGCTCTGGTAAAAATCTATGGGCATTTGTCTGCTACACAGACTACGGGCCTTTGAATATGGACTGTTCCTAAATCACGTTGACATCCCCTAGGTCTGCCTAAACATAATCCGTATTGAGTATTCATGTGGGGAGATCAGAGTGCGTCAGGGATCAGAGGCGAAGTGGGGGCCATTCATTTTAGGTTCTCCCCTTGTAATAGGAGGCTGGGGTGGGGGTAGATATGTTAAGTCCTTCACTCACCAACACACTTATCAAACAGGGACTCATGCCAGTCGTGGAGCTAGGTTAGGGTGTGGGGATGCAGAAATGGAGGAGATGGGGCCCTGGGGTTCACATTCTAAGATGGTGATAGACAGGGATAAATAAGTGCATTAAAGCAGATCTCCTCTCTGGACTGGGTCTCACCCCCACCCCAATTACCCCCAACCATCTGCCCTAGGTGGCCTACAGGCTGGAGAACCTGGATGTGCGGGCCTTTCTCAGAAATAGCAGAGTGCAAAAAATGTAAGTGGAATTGTTCCTGCCTGGTCCCCAAATCCTCCCTCTTACCCCTCACCGCTCACCCCTCAGCTCCTCACTCTTCCCCTCCCACACAGCAGCCGTCCAGCAGGAAGAAACTCCCTGCAACAATGGAGCGTCATCTCGGAGTTCCAGTACCGCCCTCAGGGTCCCGTCATCCACTTCCTGAACACCCGGCTGCTGGATGCAGTGGTGGAGGCATTTTTACTGCAGGCCCCGCCGGGGAGAGGGAGGAAAAGTGACGAGCCCAGGAATGACGTGATCTTCTACCCTGTCTCCAGGAGAGACGTACGCAATCGGACAGCTTGTGAGTCACCATCTTGGGATTTCTGAGTCTCCTTCAGCTCTGACAGCCCCGGACTATCCTGGAACAGGAATGAGATAGGTTGATGAGAAAGAAAGGAATGGCCCACCCTATTTGGGGAGTGAGACAGAGAATTGAGCAGTGAGACAAGCAATAATTGTTATGCTGAAAGGCATATGAATCAGTCTGTAGTGAGTTTCTTTCTGGGCCAACAGTTCGTTTGAGACCCAATTTCAATATCAAAAAGTTCCTTATGTGTACAAGTCAACAATGATATTTCAGTTCTGAATGGTGTAAAATTGAATTCTTGATCAAAAAGGAATAGATTTGGTGTTAAATGTTCTTGCTGTTCACCTGTCTCCCACCTTACAGCGGATGTGGACACGCTGAAGAGTAACTTAAAATGCAATGGTTACAAGGGCTACAAACTGGTGTACAGCCCACAGAGCGGCTTCACGTGTGTGTCCCCATGCAGTGAGGGCTACTGTGAGCACGGAGGCCAGTGTCAGCACTGGCCAGATGGGCCCCGCTGCAGGTGAGTGGGATGGGAACAGGGGGCAGGGGCAGAGGGTGGTGCTGGGAAATCCAAGCTGGGGAAAGATACCGCAAGGAGGTCCAGAATGGATGTCTGCAGATTAGCGATAGTTCCCTGTGTAATTGAGAACTGGGATCAGAGAAAGAAAAAAATGGATGATGGAAAATAAAACAGAGGGAGTGCCCACTCCGTGTGGAGAATAAAGGTGCTATATTACCTCAAACTAGCTACTAGGTAGGTTTTTGTTCATTTGTTTGTTTGTTTGTTTGTTTGTTTTTTTGAGAAAACTGCAGCTCAGAGATGATAAGGACCCTGCCCAAGGTACCCAGCATGTTAAGTAGTATATGGATTCCAAAGTTAAACTCTTACACATGCCGTTGCTTCTTGGATGGACACCCTGCTGTCTCATTGTGGGAAAAAGGGACCCTTTGTCTTGAGTCTAGGCCGGGCCTTGACCCTTCTTAAGAGTACCAGGCTGAGGAGGCCCTCTCAGACTGGCACCTTATGTCCCCGTCAACAGTCCGAGGGACCCCCTGGAGGGGAGTGCACTAAGGCTGCTTGCCTGCCAAGGAGGAGCAGGGCCAAGCCTTCTGGGCCCCCTTGTCACCTGAGTGCCCTCTGTCTACCCTCCTCCCCAGTGCAGTTCCAGACCCGCCTCCCCCAACCCTCACCCCCAGCTGCTAGGGTGCAGCTGACCTCTCACACACCGCGTGGTTGTGTTTGCCGGATGGCCTCTCTCCAGCATCACCACAGGGCTGACTCGACCACGTTCCCTAAAGGGAAGCCCTACCTGTCTTGGAAAACCTCCTCTGGCCCCGCCACAAGAGGAGATGGAAAATGCAGAGGCTGAGCGCGGCCCCCACCACCCCACCCCACCTTCCCTCTATTTTTTTCTATTTTTTTAATTTTTTTTATTAAATTATTATCTGTGTACATATCTTACCGTTGCCCCCCCCCATACATGCCCTCCCTCTCCAGAGTTTTATGTCCGTTGGTTGTACTTACATGCATGCATACAAGTCCTTCGGTTGATCTCTTATCTTCCCCAGATCTCCCTCCCCTCCCCGCTGTAATTTGACAGTCTGCTTGTTGCTTTACTGTCTCTATATCTATCTTTTGGTTCATCAGTTTGTAATGTTCCTTATTATCCAGAAATGAGTGAGGTCATATGGTGTTTCTCTTTCATTGACTGGCTTATTTCACTCAGCATGATGTTCTCCAATTCCATCTGGGATCAAAAACAAAACAAAAAACTATGGTACATCTATACAATGGAATACTATGCTGCCCTAAAAAAGAAGGAATTCTTATCATTTGCCTCCCCTCTATTGATGTGTTCCCTCTCTTTGTCCCCAGCTGCAAGCCCTTCTCCATCTACTCGCCCTGGGGCGAGCACTGTGAGCATCTGAGCATGAAACTCGGCGCCTTTTTTGGGATTCTCTTCGGGGCCCTGGGCGCCCTCTTGCTGCTCGGGGTCCTGGTGTTTGTGGCCCGTCGCTTCTGGTGCACCAAGACGCGGTTCTCCTACCCCCTGGACTCAGAAAGCTGAAGCCTCCACCCAAGGGGAGAGCGGTGGCCTAAGATACCTCAAGACCCACCCCAGACACACCCACCTCCGTCCGGGCGCCTTTGGGACCATTGGGAAAAGGAAGATGACCAACAGTGACTTGGGATTCTTCAGGGAGAATGACTAACAGAAATGAATAATGATAAAGAGCACAACTTATCCGTTTACACAGAGGTACTGGAAGAGACCCTAACGATCTACTACATAAAAGGATGGGTTCTCACACAGACACACCCACAAGGAGGACACACACACACAACACACACACACACACACACACACACACACAGATTTAATAATGGGGTGATGGTTCTAACTTAAAAACCAAAAATGCATTTGTACCTAAAACTCTCCAGTTTACTTCTAATTAAAGTCTATTTAGATAAAATTTCTCTGACTTTTTGTGTGTGCAACTCCGTGGGTTCCATTTGCTATTTTTTCTCTGCTGGCTAAAGGGCCGGGCACAGAGTGGAGGAGCAGAGGTGCGTTAGCCACAGTCCTGTTTTAGCCCTCAGGACTCCACGTTGGGAAGTTCAGTTGCTCCAGCTCAGACTTGGATCCTTGCTTCTGCCTCCACTTCGCTTTCTTCCCCTCACCCCAACATAAGCCAAGGCCTGGCCCTCTTAGGAGAGGGTAGAGATACCTCCCACAGTTTCTCTGTCCTTTCCTGGGTCCCAGGCAGCGTCTTCTGAGTTTCTCCAGCCTACCACCCTTCAGCCCCACTCTCTCTCCTTGTTCCCAGCAACCAGATCAGTTTCCACCTCATCCTTCCCGCTTAGGAGACAGGACTTTGCGCCTCTCTTGTGTAACAGCTCCCACAACTGGTCCACAGCTCCTGTGTCCTGGGCACCTCAATCCCAGCTCTATGCAGAAACTGGGTAATGGCTTCTTGGTCCTAAACGCTAAGTCCCTAAAAAGATCATATGATTGGTCCAGTTGTTCATCTCTGGTCCAATCAAGTGTGGCCACAGGGTAAGAAAGGAGTTCACATGATACAAACCAGAGGCTCAGGCTCATTCGTGTAAGTGAATGAGTAGTGGTATTAGAGGAAGTTCCCATAGAAACATGAACTTTCATCTGAGCAGATGAACTGTCTGCTTTACATAGAGAAACATCTCCCAGCAGATGAAGACCTTCTCCTATGTACACCACATATCCCAAATACGCTAAAATGTAATCATGTGTCCATATAAAGCCATATTCATTTCATTCCAGTTTTCATTTATCAAGAATTGCCAAAACCTGCCGGGGCCGGTTTGGCTCAATGGATAGAGCGTCGGCTTGGGGACTGAAGGGTCCCAGGTTCGATTCCAGTCAAGGGCATGTATCTTGGTTGCGGGCATATCCCCAGTAGGGGGTGTGCAAGAGGCAGCTGATCGATGACTCTCTCTCATCGATGTTTCTAACTCTCTATCTCTCTCCCTTCTTCTCTGTACAAAATCAATAAAATATATATTTAAAAAAAAAAAAAAGAATTGCCAAAACCGGTTTGGCTCAGTGGTAGAGCATCGGTCTGCGGACTGAAAGTCCTGGGTTCGATTCCGGTCAAGGGCATGTACATTGGTTGCGGGCACATCCCCAGGAGGGGGTGTGCAAGAGGCAGCTGGTCGATGTTTCTCTCTCATCAACGTTTCTAGCTCTCTATCTCTCTCCCTTCCTCTCTGTAAAAAATCAATAAAATATATATTTAAAAAAAAAAACACATTAAAAAAAAAGTTCAGTGGGTAGAGCATTGGCCTGCAGACTGAAGGGTCCCAGGTTTGATTCCAGTCAAGGGCATGTACCTTGATTGCAGGCTCTTCCCTGGCCAAAGCCCTGGTCCAGGCTCATGCAGGAGGCAACCAATCTGTTTCTTTCAGATTGATATTTCTCTCTGTCTTTCCCTCTCTCTTCTGCTCTCTCTAAAAATCAATGGGAAAATATCCTTGGGTGAGGATTAAAAAAGAAAAAAATTAAGCACATAGTTCAAATGGGTTCCCTGGTGACTTCTATCAAACATTTCAGGAATCAATTCTAAGAATTCTCTATAATCTCTTTTAGAAGATTGAAGTACAGGGAATATTTCCTCAACTCATTTTATAAAGCCAGCATTACCCTAATACGAAACCATATCAAGACATCATAAGAAAAGGAAACTATTCACCAATAGCTCTCATGAAATAGGTGCAAAAAATCCTCAACAAAATATTGGCAAATCAAATCCAACAATGAATAGAAAGAATTATACATCACAACCAAGGAGTATGTATCTCATGTATGCAAGCCTGGTTCAACATGCAAAATCAACTAATGCAATCTATCACATCAACAGTCTAAAGAAGAAATATAATCTTTTCATATGATCATTTCAGTAGATGAAAAAAAAAAAAAAAAAAAAAAAAAAAAAAAAAAAAAAAGCATTTAACAGCCCTAACCGGTTTGACTGAGTGGATAGAACATCGGCCTGTAGACCAAAGGGTTCTGGGTTCGAATCTGGTCAGGGGCACGTACTTTGGTTGTAGGCTCCTCCCCGACCCAGGCCCTGGTCAAGGCTCACTCAGGAGGCAACCAATTGATGTGTCTCTCTCACATCATTGTCTCTCTCTGTCTTTCCCTCTCTCTTCCATTCTCCCTAAATATCAATGGAAAAATATCCTCATGTGAGGATTAACAAATGGAAAAACTACGGACAAAAATTATTTAACAAAATCAAATACCCATTTATGATAAAAACTCTCAGCAAATTAGGAATCAAAAGGATCTTCCTCAGGTTGATTTAAAAAATCTGTATGGTGTTAGATGGGGTGATCACTTTGTAAGTCATACAAATGTCTAATTATTATGCTATACACCTAAAGCTAATATATTGTATATCAATTGTAATTGAACATTTTTTAAATGTTTTAATCTACAAAAATGTACAGCTATGGTGAGAAACTTAAACCTTTTCAGCTAAGATCAGGAACAAAGCAAGGATGTCCCCACTCACCACTGCTTTCCAACATCATACTGGAAGTCCGAGCTAATTTAAATACTAAAAGAAAAAGGAAAAGGAAGTTAAAAATACAGATTGGCAGATTGGGAAGAGAGAAATAAAACTGCCATTTTTTCACAGATAAGATCATCTAATTTTATTTTTAAAATAATAGCCCTAGCCAGTATGCCAAGTGCTTAGAGCATTGGCCCATGCACCGAGGGGTCCTGGGTTTGATTTGGTCAAGGGCACCTAACTGGGTTGGAGGTTCAATCCCCACCCCCACACACTTCAGTGTGATTCATTGTTAGTAAAGGGCTTGGTCCATGGGTGCTGGCGCCTGTGTTGGGTAAGACAACTTTGTGAGCCATGAGTCCAAGTGGACTGACTTCACGGGAGCTCTCAGGCTTATGCCCTGGGCACTGCTGGGAGGAGGACGAGAGGGGAAGGTGCTTTTACCCCATTTGCCATCTACATCTACAAGGAAGGAGATAGTAATGGGAAGACCAGTCCCCTGTGGCAGCCACAAAACTGGGAGGGCCCTGACTCATGTCCGCTGATGGCCACTTGAGGCAAGCCAGCCCGAGAAGCTAGTTGATTATCCTACTTCAGAGGGAACATGTAGGGACAGCCTCAAGGAGGAGTGAGAAGGCAGAAGTCCATGCGAGCCAAGGACTGCAGAGCAGGGACCACAACTCTCAGAACTTCCTAAAATAATCCTTGTCACTTTCCCATCGATACTTTTCTCATTCAGTAAATGTTTCCTCATGGAAGTAAAATCACATCAAACATAAGAAGCACCTGTGGCTTTGTGTTTAGTGGTAGTTGGGGGATTAAGAGAGAGGAACCTCCAGAGACAATGTGGGTATTGGTACTGCAAAGGGAAGGGGAGCAGGCAGAGTCCTTGGGGCTCTAGCAAGGATAAAGAGGCCAGCTTCCCATCCCTGCTCAAATCTCTTCCTCCTCCTCCTCCTCCTCCTCCTCCTCCTCCTCCTCCTCCTCCTCCTCGTCGTCGTCGTCTTCTTCTTCTTCTTCTTCTTCTTCTTCTTCTTCTTCTTCTTCTTCTTCTTCTTCTTCTATATATTTTATTGACTTTTCACAGAGAGGAAGGGAGAAAGATAGAGTTAGAAACATCAATGAGAGAGAAACATCGATCAGCTGCCTCCTGCACGCCCTCTACTGGGGATGTGGCCGCAATTGAGGCACATGCCCTTGACCGGAATCGAATCGGGACCTTTGAATCCACAGGCCAACTCTCTATTTACTGAGCCAAACCGGTTTCTACTCAAACCTCTTCTTACATGGACCTGAGATGTTGGGGATGGAACCCCAGAACTCCAGAAATGATGTACCAGGCATTTTTACAGGCAACAAGGAGCCAGGTGAGGCAAAACTTCAGCTTGAATAGAGATGCTCCTAGCATTTCTACACAGGGCACAATGTCTCTATTCATTTGACTAGCCCTCTGAAGTTGTGGGAATGGAGGGCCAGCAGGTGCTCATTGCCCAGGAGGGGCTACAGCAGGCTCTTTCATAGGCTGACAAAGGGGCCTCTCCTGTCTGCCAAAGGGGAGGGGCTCTCTGATGGTGGACCAAGGAGCCTCCTGGGGAGGACTGCCAGCGTTAGCAAATAAAAATACAAGATGCTCGGTTAAATTTGAATTTAAATGTCAGATAAACAAAGAATTATTCTTTTAAAATATGCTTATATGCTTTTATTGATTGCAGAGAGGAAGGATGTGGGAGGGAGCTACAAACATCAATGATGACAGAGAATCATTAATCGGCTGCCTCCTGCATGCCCCCTACTGGGGATGGAGCCTGCAGCTCAGAATTGTGCCCCTGACTGGAATTGAACCTGGGACCCTTCAGCCTGCAGGCTGATGCTCTATTTTTATTACTTAAGCTGGAAAAGAAAAAGATAATGCATGATAATGATGTGTCAACCAAGAATTATTAATTATAACACAGGGACCACACTGTTGCAGGATGTGGCTAATGGCAGACACTGTGTGTGTGTGTTTGGGGAT